GAGGGCAGAGGAGCTGCTCTGGGGTTCAATGTGTTCCCAAGTCCCAGGGGCTGTGGTCGATTCTCCATCCCTGGCAATGTTCAGACCGAGACAGGATGGTTTCTGAAGAGATCTGCTCACTTCAGCCAGGGGCTAATGCAGGGCAGGGCTGCGGCCTGTGCTATTCGGGGGCAGACGGGACAGTCGCAGGGGCTCTGCCCCCCTTGGGATCTAGGAATCTTAGTTTTATGTTGAAGAGATTTGGGCGCAGCAGTGACCTAGGGGGACCAGACAGGAAGTGTGAAAAATTGGGGCAGGGGGGTAATAGGTGTCTAGATAAGAGAAAGCCCTGAATATCGGGACTGTGCTGATAAAATCAGGACATCTGGTCACCCTAGTGTCATGCAGGGCTAGGGCGTGTGTGTGTCACCCAGGGGTGGGGCATGTGTACAGCTGTGGGGCCGCCTGGGCCGAGAAGAATCCATCGTCTTTGTTTGAAGATAATTCTCCTGGTGGGAGCAATGGCCCTTGTTCTGCTGTGACCTGGAGCTGTTGTGTGTGTTTGGGGGGGGTGGGCTGTGGGCCACCGGGGAGTGCGATTGGGGGGGGGGGGCAAGGGGAAGGACGTGGTGTTTGCAGGGGGGTCTCACTCTCTGCTCCCTTTCAGAGCCCCCGTCCCGCTCTGCCCTGCTCCCTGTGCTGATTGGGGCCGTCGCTGTCACTGTCACTGCCGCTGCCGCTGTCGCTTCCCTGCTCGCTGGGACAGTTGGGTTTGTTCTCTGGTGGAGGCAGCGCTCAGGTAATGGGGGGCTGGCGGTGCCACCTCTCAGTGTGGGGCCTGCGATGGGGCCCTGGGGACGGCAGCAATCTGGAGGGGGACCCCTGCGTTGGGGCTGTGTGTCACTGTATGACTGCCCCGTGGAGGGCTGGGCCAGAGACCCTGCTGGGGGGCTGCTGCCAGGCCGTAGCCAGAGACGGGGCGAATGGTTCTGGGTCTCTGTTTCCTTCCTTACACCCGGCTTCCCCTGGGACACTGAGTCGCGCGCTGAGCCCCGGGGTCTGTGCTGGGCCGTGGACGTGGATCAGAGCCGGTTCCTGCCCCTGGGACCGGGCTCGCGAGGGCCGTGCGCTAACGCCCCATCGCCACCTGCTCAGCCAGTCACCCGCAATCCCCTGCGTCGCACGACGTGCCCCTGGCTCTGCGGGGTGCAGGCCCCTCTGGTCTCCGAGCTGAGCCATGCCAGGCAGGGGGGCCCCTCTTGTCTGGCTCTGCCCAGGGCAGCTCCAGGTGATGCTGTTCCCTGTCTGGGGTTGGCTGGGGGGGGAGAGAGTGAACCATGGGAGGTGGGGGGGTGAGGGTGGAATCAATTCCAAGGGAGACGTCTGCCTCACCGGCACGTCACCCCCGTTTCAGGAGACACTAACCCCCCTTCGTACTGCACAGGATCTTTTCAGGGGGAATAAGGCAAAACGCCACATTTATTA